GGCAGCAGTCCCTTCTCCTCCATTCTCCTTTTGGGATCTTGGGCACGCACGCGCACGTGCCCGGAGTGAGTTTAAGCCACCGGGGCTGGGACTCAAACCGTGATTGACTACGTGGGAGTCCAGTGACACAGCCATTACGCCAACTGCTGGTCCCAGCCTCTATTTTTTATACAGTGATATTGCTACCTAAAATACCTCCGAATTGAAAAAATTAGAGCCAAAATAAAATCTGCTTACATTTTTACTTATATCTCTTTTAAGACTATCCAAACAAAAACAAACTAATAGATGATGCTAGTTACCGAAAGGAAAAGAAAAACCGTTCATGGTCTTTTGTTCATTTCATCAATTAGAACACACAAGGCAGCATCTTTTTGTATAATCTGGTCTCTCCTACGACCTGAATTTTTTCTTTGTTGTTCATTCTGTCCAGTGCAATTGTTACTATCATCACCATCCACCTGTTCAGTTTTTACTCTCAACCCTGCTTCAGAATGGGGCAAATCATCAGGCAAAGAAGCCAAGCAATTTTGAGTCATCTCGATTACTCGTTCCAGGTGTTTCTGAAACCTCTCAGCTGTTTCAAGCCGTTGACGTTTCTGGACCTCCATGGTAACTCTCAAGGTCTCTATTGCTTGATGGGGTCAGTATTCATTTATAAGACGATGCGCATGTACAAAAAGCAGCTTAAGATCTTCTCATTTCTTTTCTTGTTTTATACTCCGAGGACTTCTTATCAATATATTTAAAAGGTCTAGAAAATGAATAAGGATGGACATATTGAGTTTTCTCAGTTCCTTCTTGTGATCAAACTACATAGGATGAAGCCGTTCAATGCCCTGGCTTTCCAAGGGCCGATCATCACATTGGAACTGGTTGCCAAACATCGTGAAACTGTCTTTTATTGGAGCGGGCGGCTTGGGGGCTAAACCTTCCTGAATGTTTTCATCTGTGTATTCTTTGATGCGCTGCATCGGAGGTGGTGGAAGTGCACTCACATGCTGTGGTTCACCCACTGTAGAAGGTCAAAAACCTCAGCCTTCCGTTTACACTGGTAAACGCCTCTGCCATCTCGGCCTCAGTACTTATTTTTATATTGTACTCATTAAGTATCAATAGTTCATATTGTAAGATAAGGGGCCTTTTTGAATTAACCCATGAAGTAACTGGTTTATAGTTGTAATCAGCTTTCACTATCAAAATTGTAGACAAGGAAATTAGGGGTATTGTAGTACTTGGTTGCAAAATAACTTGCCATCAGGTAGATGTTGGGTCAGAAAATGCCATTTCCTCAGTGCTGAGAAAACAGCCAAACATGAAGCAATTCTTGAGAGTATCAACCAGTTGTTTTGCAACACACGTTCTTCTTTTCAATCCGAAGACCCAGACCCTCCTTATCCCACAGAGTGTAGGTTCTGGTACACGGAGCATTGCCGAGCTCTATGACACTCTTTAGAGCTTGAGGATTCGGGGCCAGTCGGTTCACATGGAACATTGAAGGCCTGTATGATGGGATCTGCAGTTAAATACCCAACTGCTCTTTTTCCATCAGATATAAAGAAAAAAGTTTTGGTTTTATTTGGACACCTGGAAACAACTTGCTGAAAGCCCAGTTCATTATCAACAAGTTCTTGGATATCTTCTACCTTTCTGACAGCGTAACCTGGATCATGTGGCAGGATCAACACGATTTTCCCATCCTCAAACTGTGCTACTACACGTTTTTTCTTCCAGTCCACATATTTTACCCCTTCCAGAAATCTGGGGTGATATTAACCATGTCGTATTTCATCAACAGGGTCGGAAATGGTGTAACCACTATGCCACCTATACACGCTAGTCCCAAAATATTGCTTCAGTGATGAGTTGGTCTTCTGTATCTTTGTATCTCCGGCATTAGTATTTTTTTGTGACTTGGTACATTTCAAGACGTAGTACATACAGTGGATCCCACAGAAGACTGTTCCTCGGCTAGCGATCTTTTTGTACTGACGGAAGACATGCCGAAGATGGGATAGACAACGGACTCAGAGGAAATTGTCTTGTTCTCACCAAGAGAATCCTCTGAAGAAAAACAGTTATTTTGATCAGATTTAGAGTCCCCTGAAGAAATTACTCCGCCTGATGAATTCTTTATTAATTCCTCTTCAGTTTTACTTCTTGCACTTAGCCTAATGTTCAGTTTCTTTTCTAGTAACAAGTCCTTTGACACTTGCCTTGTCTCAGAAGTTCTTTCACGGACAGTCTCTATATTAGAATCCTCAATTACTTCTGACTTTGATGACTTACTTCCCAGAGACAAATTTCTAAGAGAGATTTTCCTAACCAAAAATGCTGCTCTACCCTAGAGGGTAACTTGTGTTTTTCCTTTTTGAGTTAGAACCTGAGGAGGAGTCAAATCATTCTCAGTTTGGAGCTGGCAGGTGGCATGATGGTTAAGGGCACTGGCCCCTCCCACATGGCTAGACCATAGTTTGAGTCCTGGACCTGGTGGCTTGCTTTCTCACTTTGCCTCTCTGTCCCTCTCTGGTCAAATTAAAAAGTAGAGAAATAAATAAATAAAATGATTATTTAACAAATCATTTTTAGCTGGATGACATTTATTCTTTAATTTATTTATAAATTGGTTTACAAATCACTTGATTTTGCTTGGGATTTTTAGAATTTCTTTTTTTTATGAATTATTTTATTTAACTATTTATTTATTTAACTTGACCAGAGAAGGACAAAGTGAGAGAGAGAGAGAGAGGGAGAGAGGGAAAAGGAGAAACAAGCCACCAGAACCGGATCCGGCACTCAGTCGGCCATGTGGGAGTCCAACGCCCCTAACCACCATGCCACCTGCTGGCCCTTTAGAATTTCTTACACAGGCTTGATGCACTTATAGCTTGGCTGATACTCAGCAGTCTAACTCTGGTGGTTTTTTTGTTCCTCTTCTTGGAGCAGACTGGTTTCTCCTGTCTTTTGTCCGTCACACTGGGAGTAGGTGTGTCTGCATTATTACCTTTCAGATTAGTTGCTCTACTCTCTTTTCTCAGCTTCCTCTCCAATGGATTGAGGTGCCACTTATCTTTGTTGTAGAAGGATACAGTGGACATGGCAGTTTTACATGGCGAACCTTCATTTGCAGATGGTAGTCTATTTTTTTAAGCTGTTTTGAGTGGACTCGAAAGGAAATGACCTTGTTGAAGCGATGCAAGTTTTCTTCATCTTTATTACTGATTTGACAAATGAACTTTTTAGTAGGTGATGGAAATAGATTTTCAGTAAAGTCCAAAATGTATTTATTTGATGGAATGTCTGATAACATGCTGTCACATGTCAAAGAATGCTGCTTCCTCTTCCTTGGAGTAAAAGCTTTTTAAATTAATTCCTGCTAGAGCTGGCAGGTGGTGTGGTGGTTAGGGGTACTTGACTCCCACATGGTTGAGTCCCGGACCTGGCGTCTTGCTTTCTCACTTTGTCTCTCTCTCTCACTTTATCCCTTCCTGGCCAAATTAAAATAAATAAATAAATGGATAAATAGGTTAAATAAAATAATTATTAAACAAACAAACAAACAAACAAACAAAACAGTATTTCCTGTGCCTCAGAGCAGGAAGCTTCTCCTCAGCCAAGCCAGTTCCTCCCAGGCTGTATTCAAATGATAGTGCACCAGTTGAGGTGGAAGTCACTCCCCCGGTGTGAATTTCAACCCACTGCGTCCAGGACTTGAACCGCTGTCGGCCATGTGGGAGTCTAGCAATGTAACCGCTACGTCATCTGCTGGCCCCAAGTTTTTCTAAAAATTAATCAAGAAGTTATTTTCTCCTTGTATTAGAACAGTCGGGTTTTTCTCAGGGTCCAGCAATGGCATAATGGTTATGTTGCTGGGCTCTCATGTAGTCAGCCACAGTTCGCGTGTTGGATCTGGCATTTTAAAACCCACACTGAGCATGTGTGCGTGCGTACCCAAAATCCCGAGAGGAGAATGGAAGAGAAGAGATTGTGGCGTGGCCATAACCCCATGGGAGATGATTTCTCAGGGTGTACGCTCACAAGCACACACGAGATTTATCTGTAAAGTAGACTCCACTAGTAGTTTGATTTGTTACTGATTGCTTAACAGAAGTGGCATCTGGTGACAGATGAGAGCTGCAGTAGCAGTCCAGACCACTTCCTTCCTCTTATCTCCTAAAACCCGCTGAACTCTGGCTCAGTTCTGGCTTGACCAGTTGGAGACCAAAATGTTTCTGAATGCGCTACACAGCAGCCTCACGCTCCTCCAACTGCTGACAGTTCTGCTCATGGGTAAGTGGGGTCAGTCTGCAATAGGTGATGTCAGCCCCTCCCGCAACCGGAATGCCAGGGACCAGGGTGGTGAGGAGAAGGCCTGCGCTCCAGAAGCTGGGGACAGATTGAAAGAGGAGAGAAGACCTAAATTCTTATTGAAAAAGGAGAGAAGACCTAAATTCTTATTCCCGGTGGATCCGAAGAGCAGAGCGCAGGGACCAGCAGGAGGCAGGCAGGGACTCCTGGACTCCCACATGGTCGACTGTAGTTGGAATTCTGGACCCAGGGACTTGATGCTGGGCACTTGTGCATGTGTGTCTAAAATCCCAAGGGAAGAATGGAGGAGAAGGGATTATGGCATGGCCATCTCCCCCTGTGGAGGTGATTTCTTGGTTTCTAACTCTTTGGTGAGTGCATGTGCCCTATAGCAAAAATTTCTCAAAAAGAAACCAAAAAATTAAAATAAAAAGAGGCGAGTTCAGAGGCGCTCTCACTGCCACTGGGAAGTAAGTTCATTCTGCCTCAAAGCATTCATCGTTTCTGTGTAACCATACAGAGCAACAGGCACGGGAGAAGGACGCAGGAAATGAGTGTCTTGTACGAGGCCAGCTGTGAGCAGGCTCGGGAGCTGGGTCCTGGGGAAAGGAGGAGGCTGAGATCACCTCCCCCGGCCCCCTCCACGAGCTCGCGACTAGATCTGCTCTTGTCTTTTTCCGCCATACATTGAGCCGTTCTCTTGTCTTTCACAGCTTCTGCAGACAGGCGAGCTGGTGAGTTTGCGCTTAGCTTTCTCGGTGTGATGTTCTACTTACTGTGTAGAGAAACGTCCGTTCCACCAAGAGTCAGGACGGGTTTGACATGCGCTGGTCTAACATTCCAGAGCCTGGGATATTTCTGGGTAAGATTCCTCTGGAAACCCAGATGAATGAGGCTGCTGCAAGTACACAGATCCTTAACCGGGTCTCCAGTAGAAGTGTCTGCCTCCAGACCGCCCTGGGAGCTCCCTGGGAATCCACAGCCTCCCCAAGGTTATTGACTCATCCCCTTCTGCTTCCTTCCCATGCACCCCGCACTCCAGCAGACCTCCCCAAGGCTGTGGTGAAACTGGAGCCCCCGTGGATTCACGTGCTCCAGGGGGACACCGTGACTCTGCAATGCCAGGGGGCCCATGCCCCTGGGGACACCTCCACCCAGTGGTTCTACAATGGCAGCTCCATCCCGAGCCAGGACCAGCCCCACTACAGGTTTAAGGCCCAGAGCAACGACAGCGGGGAGTTCAGGTGCCAGATGGGCCAGACCAGCCTCAGCGACCCGGTGCATTTGGAAGTGTTTTCCGGTGAGTGGAGGAAGGGACTGAGGGTCTGGGAGGACCAGGGGAGATCTACTGACCGTGCAGGGGGTGCGGGAGGGGGTGGCGGTTTACTGGGCGGTCCTGCTGTGAGTTGCTTGAAGTGGGTTTTGTCTACTCATTTATCTTGTCAGCCACCCGCTCTGCCTAGTTCGTGTGGTGGGCTGGACATTCTAAGAAATGTGTGTGCATGTATAGTGCAGGGGCAGGGGGTAACTTCATGGAAAATGGGGTAAGTTCCTGGAAAATGCACATTATGAAAGCACGGTGTGGGCTGCAGCAGTAACACAGTGTTCTGTGGCTGACTGACGTGGGAGACTTCCAGGTCAGCATCTAGAGACCTCCCTGAGGACAGTCTGTGGGCTTCTGCCCACGATCCCGGCTGGCGGAAGCCAGGGGTGAATGGTGTTGAAAGCCCTATTGGGGGGCGCGTGTGCGTGCGTGCCCAAGATCCCAAGAGGAGAATGGAGGAGAAGGGATTGCGGCGTGGCCATCCCCCCTGGGGGTGATTTCTCGCTTTCTGTCTCTGTCTCTCTCTGTCTGTCTGGAGAGCGCAGGCGCCCTATAGCATAAACCTCTCCAAAAAAAAGAAAGAAAGAAAGAAAGCCCTATTGGGAGGGTCTGTCTGGTTTTAGTTAGAATCTCTCTCATACTCATGAAAGAAAAAATGAAACATATATATATATATATATTTTTTTTTTTTAAGAGATTTTTGCCTTAGAGCATGTGCTCACCAGAGAGAGAGATTGGGACAGTGAGAGGGAAAGTGAGAAATCACTCCTCACATCAAGACAGAACCTGTAATGCAATCCCTTCTTTATTCCTCTTCCTGGGATCTTGGGCATGCACACACATACACCCAGTGTGAGTTTCAAGCCACCAGGTCTGGGACTTGAACCGCAGTAGGCCATGTGGGAGTCCAATGACATCACCACTACAACCACTACATCATCTGCTGGCCTCCCAAAAAATATTTTTTTCAAACTGTCCATGGGTTTCAAATTTTTTTGTACCTAAATAAACTTCTTTAATTCCATTTTTCTACAATTATTTGATGTCCCTTCATGTAATAGGTTGTTGTTACCCCAGCACTGATTGAGCAAGGAGGTTACTAAAACCACAAACAGGCAGGTACGTGGGAGAGAAGCAGAATGGAAATCTCTGTTCCATAAACCACCCAGCTCCAATGGCAGTGTGGGGAGCGTGGAGGCTGGAGGCAAACAGACCTGCAAGGCCCTAAGGAAGGAGCCGGCCTGGCAAGCGTGAGCAGGCCGTTTCTGCTCAGAGGACAGATGGCCTGAGGGAGGAATCCAGTCTGGACTATGGTGTCAGAGGTGAGAGGGAGAGAAGAGGGCAGATGGTACAGAGGCTGGTTACAATGCTTTGATTTTTTTTTTTAAATAATTACTTTGTAAAATTTAACTTTATTTATTTTAATTTGACCAGAGAGGGAGATAGAGAGAAAAAAAATTAAGCTGCCAGGGCCAGGACTTGAACCGTGGTTAACCATGTGGGAGTCCAGCACCCTTAACGACCATGCCACCTGCCAGCCCTACAATGCTTTGACTTTATCCTTGAATGAAATGATAATTCTTTTTTATTTCTTTGGAAAGGTTTTTGCTATAGAGCGCGTGCACTCGCCAGACAGACAGAGAGAGACAGAGAAATAGAAAGCGAGAAATCTCCCCCCAGAGGGGATGGCCACGCCGCAATCCCTTCTCCTCCATTCTCCTCTCGGGATCTTGGGCATGCACGCACACATGCCTGGCGTGAGTTTTAAGCCACCGGGTCCAGGACACGAACTGTGGTGACTACGTGGGTGTCCAGCGACATAGCCATTACGCTAACTGCTGGTCCCTGAAATGATAATTCTTCAGATGGCTTTAATGAAAGGAGTTACAGATCTGATTTAGGTTTATGGAAGTATCTGACAGTGTTGAACATAATAGATTCTGTACAGAAAAATACCCCTAAAGACTATTTCTATCCCCCTCCAATGTTGGAAACTATGAGCAATTTCTGCATCACTCCAGGGGCATGCTTAGTGCATAAATCTTGAAGATGGTCACATGTAAACATGCAGCATTTAAGATTTTCCTGTTAATATGAGGAGAGGTGTGTGTGTGTGTGTGTGTGTGTCTGAAGGTTTTTGCCATCGGGCATGTGTGCTCACTGGTGAGAGACAGGAGAGACAGTGAGAGGGAAAGTGGGGAATCACCACCCCCAGTGGGGACGACCACTCTATAATCCCTTCTCATTCTCCTCTCTGAATTTTGTACACACAAGCACTTGGCGGTTTTCAGTTCACCAGTCTAGAAAAATTGTATGGCTGGCCATGTGAGATCCAGCTGCCTTAACCCTTGTACCACCTCCTGGCCTGTTTTTGGGGTCTTTTAAGGCCCTCATACCAATAAGATCTTGGCAGGGGAGTCGCTTTCTGCTTCTGGTGGTCTAATTGAGAGGGAATAAATCTTGAGTCAGTCTCCAAAGCCTTGCCTGTCCCGACTGGGGGGACAGCCAAACAGGTTTCCTGAGTGAAGGAGTGAGAGCCGGGACAAGCGGCGTAGTGTTACAGCATGGAGACGACAGTGTCGTCCGTTTATTGTGGGCAGCATGGTACAGCACAGAGACGACGCAGTGTCACAGCTCTTAAGGGTCATGTCATCTACTATGAGCAGCACGGAGACACGTCATCTGGAGACTGCACGCTGTTTCAGCTCTTCAGGCTCTTCAGTTGTCATCTTCCTAATCGTTGTCTCTTCAGTCGTCCTCTTCCTTGTCCTCGTTGTTGTCTGGCTACTGTGGCCCAGGCATCGTGGTTATATACACTCTGGTGGGTTGTAAACGGTGGGCCATGATTGGTTGTAAATGGTAGACCATGATTGGTTGTAAACGGTGGGCCGTGATTGGTTTTAAACAGTGGACTGTGATTGGTTGCTTTTGGACCAATCATGAGGTGCCAGATATGCAAATTTGAGGGATTCTAGTGGCCAATCAGAGCAAGGTTTCGAAGGTCAGGTTTTTGGAAGGGAACCAATCATGGTAATTGTTTGCTCTCTGAGAAACCTTGGCAGACTCGCTGGTGCGCAGCCTCCCACACTTCCCAATGATCATAAAGCCACCCATCTCTTCTCTTTGTGTATTGCCTCCCCAGAAACCATCAATGGTACTTCTGACTTCTCCCATGAAAATGTGAAATTAAGTAGGATGAATGTTCTTACAAGCTGTGCAGAGAAGATTTGCTTTATAGGCAGAAAAGGGCTAAACAGAACAAAACAGCAGATGGGTCATTTTCAGTTATCTCCTTATATAGATTAAAGTAGTAGGACTTCCTTAACATGCTGCCTACGACTTCCTGTTTGGAGATTTGGCTGTTAACTAACTCTCTCTTCTATTTTTTTAGAGAGATTTTTGCTATAGGGTGTGTGCACTTACCAGAGAGACAGAAAGAGAGAACTCTGTCCCACCCTCACCTCATCTGCCAAGGGGTTGGCCATTCAGTGATTCCTTCTCCTCCATTCTCCTCTCAGGATTTTGGGCAAACACACACATGTGCCTCGTGTGAGTTTTAAGCCACTGGGTCTAGGACTCGAACCAGGTTAAATATGTGGGAGTCCAGTGATGTAACCATTATGCCATTGGCTGGTCCCAGACTATTATCTTTGTCTCCTGAGTTCTCAGAAGGTCAGCTAAGCAACACAGTTTCAGCTTGGTGCCTTGAAACTCCACCATGAATGATTCCATTTTGGTTTGGTCTCTTGGGCCTAGTCCAAATCAGTGGCCTCCTATACATTCTATTTAATAACAGAAGACTTTTCTTCCACAAGTTTTTATTTAAAAAAGATATAATACGTTGTAATATTTATTTCTATAATAGAACCATTTGCTTTTCTTCTCTAGTAAGTTTATTGATTCATTTCTTTTTGTGCTACAGAGTATATGTGCTTGCCCAAGAGACAGACAGGGAGGAAGAGAGGAGAAAGCACCTCCGGTGAGGAATGGTCATGCTGAAACTCTTTCTCCTCTATCTCTCCCTCCTTTCGGGATTCTAGGCATGTATGCACACATGCCTGGCATGTTTCTTAAGCCACCAGGTCTGGGACTCAAACTGTGCTGTTGACCCTGTGGGATCTATCTTAACCACCAGGCCAGGGAGCTAGCCTTACACTTTCTTTATAGGCTTGTCCTCCAAGTTAGCTGAATTTTGTAATTTTGGAATCTGATTACTCTGCTGTCAATGAAGGGAGAGGATGACTGGGAGTGAGCGTGTTTGTAGAGAAGGAGGAAAAGTGATTTTAAGTGTAAAAACTTTCTTTAGGAACAGCTGGGTGGTTTGGTGGTTAAGGTGACTGGATCCCTATATTGACTGTGTAATTTGAAACCTGGACCCAGCAGCTTGAAAAACATGCCCACAGTCACAAGAGGAGAATGGAGAAGAGATTGTGGCATGGCCATCTTCCCAGGGGGTGATTTCTCATTTTCTCTCTCTTTCCTGGCGAGTGCATGTGCCCTGTAGCTACAAAACCCATCAACCAACCAATAAACAACAACAACAAAAAAATTTCCTTTAAAGCCCTTTTTATTTAGGGTCACATTTGAATATTGAATTCAAGAGATCATACATTTTCATTTTTTATATGGTTGGAAGGTTCCACTTAGGGCATGCTCTGGTTTGAATGTTTATGTCCTCCCAAAATTCGTACGTCAGAATCCTAACCCCTAAGATGTTGGCATTAGTAGGTGGGACCTTTGGGGAAGGTGATTAGGTTATGAGAGTGGAGTCTTCATAAATGGAATCAATGACCTTATGAAAGAGGCCCAGAGGGACTCGTTGGCCCCTTCCATCCTGTGAGGACACAACTAGAAGGCCCAAATCTATGAATCAGGAAGTGTGCCTCCACAGACATCGAAGCTGCAGTGTCTTGATCTTGGACTTCCCATCTCCAGAACTGTGAGGAATAAATTTCTGTTGTTTATAAGTCAGTCATCCAGTTTATGGTATTTTGTTACCCAAAGGTCTTCAAAAAGTTTATAGAAAATGCATATTCTGAAAAATACTATGCGCAGATTTCTTTGTTTTTATTGTTTTCAGATTAATTTCACATTTTACATGAAGTCCTCAACATGTTTTATATATTTTTTTAAATTATTTTTTAACAGACAACTATACACTTTTTTGTCTGTTAAATGTTTTTCCCTGGGGCTGGCAGGTGGCATGATGGTTAAGGACGCTGGACTCCCACATGGCTGACTGTGGTTTGAGTCCCAGACCTGGTGAGTTGCTTTCTCATGTTCTCTCTCTCTTTTTCCTCTCTCATTCTGTCCCTCTCTGGTCAAATTAAAATAAACAAATAAATAAATTTCAAAAAAATAATTCTTTAAAAAAAAAAGTTTCTCCCCTTTGCACCTCACACCCATCCTCCACCATCCACTCCCCTCCTTCATAGTCTCTGGTATCTACACCTAACCACTCTACTATCATATCTTTGAATCTTTCCATTTCTGCCAAAATACAGATATATGGTACAACTTGATACAGCGTGTATCTTTCAAAGTCTGACTCACGTCGCTCAACATTAACTCTTTTATATTCATTCACTTTGAATCAAATAATAGGGTCTCATTGTTTCTTACACCTGAACAATATCCCATAGTATGTATGTGCCACGATTTTTGTGCATATGCCAGAGGGCATATGCACGTGCTCCGGGGAGAGAGGAAAAAACGTAAGAAATCACCCTCAAGGCAGAGGGTGGGGAGGACGATGACACAGCCAGCTCATCTCCATTCTCCTTTTGGGATTTTGGGCATGTACGCACATGTACCTGGCATGATTTCGAACCATCACACTACCTGCTGGCCTCTATACGCCACAGTTTTTCAACCTGGCCATTAATTTCTGGATCCTTAGGTTGGTTCCATGTTTTGGCGATAGTGAATAATGCTGCAATAAACATAGATGTGCAAGTGTCCTTCTGACAGAGTGTTTTCCTATCCTTTCAGTAAATACCAAGGAGTGGGATTATTGAGTGATAGGGAAGTTCTCATTTTAGGATTTGGAGGCACCTTGAAACTTTAAAAAAAATGTTTTCCACAGAGGTTGTACTAATTTACATTCCCACCAAGAGTGTTTTCACCACAGCCTCTGTCAGCAGTTGTAGTTTTTTATTGTTTGGATCTTAGCCATTCTAATTGAGGTTAAGTGGTCTCATTGTGGTTTAAATTTGCATTTCCTTTATGACAAGAAACCAATCACTTTTTCATATGTCTTTTGGACATTTTTAAAGTATCCCTTGGAGCGTCTATTCAATTCATTTGCCCATTTTAAAATTGGATTATTCGTTTTTTTATGGTGAGCTCCTTGAGTTCCCTATATATTCTGGATACCAATTCCATATCTGAGGCATAATTGGCAAATAGTTTCTCCCATTCTGAGTGTTGTCTTTTCAGTCTAATTGTTTCCTTTGTTGCAAAAACGCTTCTTATCTTGATGTAGTCCCATTTGTCATTTTACAAATTACAAATTACTACCTGTGCTTTAGGGGTCTTATTTAAGAATCTTTTTGCCTATTCCAATGTCTTCAAGAATTTTCCTTTGTTTTTAGTAGTATTTATTTGAGGCTTTATGTTTAAATCTGTGACTTATCTTGATTGTTTTTAAAATATTTATTTAATTCCATTTGTTATTATTTTTTAATTTGACCAGAGACAGACAGACAGAGAGAGAAGGCAAGGAAGCAAGCCACTAGGTCTGAGACTCAAGCCCCAGTCAGCCATGTGGGAATCCAGCACCTTTAACCATGCCACCTGATGGCTCCTTGAGTAGATTCTTATTAATGGTGAGAGATAAGGGTCCAGTTTTCTTTTTCTGTAGGTGGCTATCCATTTCTTTCAGCACCAGGTGCTAAGAAGACTTTCCTTTCTCCACTGCATTGTCTTGTACTCTTTGTTAAAGATCAACTGACAGTTGTACAATTTGGGGCTTATTTCTGGATTCTCTATTGTGTCCTATTGATCTATGTGTCTGTTTTTGGGCCAGTACCATGCTGTTTTGATTATCACCTCTTTGAAACATATGTTGAGGTTAAGTCATGAAATGCATCCTACCTTTTTATTTTATTTATTTATTTTTGCACAGTATTACCTAGGCAATATGAGGTCTTTGTAATATCTGACAAACTTTATGATTGTTTTTTCTATGTCTGTGATGAATGTCATTGGTAATTGCATTGAAGTCACATTTAAAATGTAAATGTAAATGCATTTGGGTAAAACTGATATTTTTTTATTATATTGGTCCTTACAATTCAAAAATATGGGCTATTTTTCCATTGTTTTGCCTCATACTCAATTTCTATTTTCAGTTTTTCATTATTTTCCTTATAAAGGTATTTTGCCTCTTTGGTTAGGTTTGTTTTTAGGTATCTTATTCATGTTGTGGCTATTGTAAGTGAGGATTGCTTTCTATAATTCTGTCTCAGTCTGTCCTTTTGGATTTCCTGTGATTGAGTTATTGGAAAAGTCATAGCATATATTTTCTATACAAGATGCCTCATGACTTTTCCGACAAATTATATCATCTGCAAATAAGAAAGTTTAGCTTCTTTTTTTCCTATCCGAAGACCTTTCATCTTGCTCTCTTGTCTAGTTGTATTGACTAGGACTTCCAGCACAATGTTGAAAAGGAGTGGAGAAAATAGGCAGCCTTGTCCTCAACCCATCATACCGTTCAGTATGATGTTGGCAATGAGTCTGTCATATATAGTTTTTTTTAAAAAGAATTATTTAATTTAATTTATTTATTTATTTATTTTAATTTGACCAGAGAGAGACACAGAGAAAGAGGGAAAGTGAGAAAGCAAGTCGCTGGGTCTGGGACTCGAACCATGGTCGGCCATGTGGGAATGTCCAACACACCATGCCACCTGCTGGTCCCTATCATATATAGTTTTTATTGTGTTGAGAAATGTCCATTCTACCCATATTTTGAGGAGAATCTTGATCATGAAGGGATATTTTATTTTATCAAAGGCCTTTCCACAACTATGAATATGATCATATGGTTTTTAACTTTCTGTTAATGTGACGTATAACATTTATTGTTTTGTGTATATTGAACCATTCTTGCATTGTTGAGATAAAGTCTACCTAGTTTTGGTGTATAATCTTGGGCTCTTGGATTAGGTATGCTAGTAT